TTGGGGGTAACTCCGCAGCCATGTGGTAAAGGATATGAGTTGGAGACGACCTTAATAATCCCAGGCCTTGTCTAAGAAAAACGTTCACTTGGGTAGTTATAAAGTTTAAAGCTGTTTTACTCAGGTTTGCGAAGGAGGATACTGCATATTCGATGCGAGGTCTTATGAAAGCGCGATAAATTTGAAGAGCGCGAAGAGGAGAGACTCCTTTATTGCGATGGTTCAGGATACGGTAGAAGTTGCAAGTTCTATTTATGCTACCAAAAGTTGTCCTTATATGACTCATGGATGAGTTATTGCAAGCTATTGTTCTCCCCAGATATTTGATTGAATTAACTTCCGGAATTAAAATCGGTCCAACAGAAAGATTTAGAGTTCTAGGTCTGTTGTTAAAATGGATAGCCTTAGTTTTCTCGAAATTAAAAGATAGTTCCAAACTCAGACAAATATTAGAAAGCTCCATTAGTTTATCCAGCAATAGACATCTGGCCTTATCAAAGTTCTTGTCGATACACACAACGAAAAAATCATCTGCGAATTGGAAAAGAAATGAAGATGTATCCACAATCGAATGTAATTTTATTGTGAAGATATTAAAAAGAATTGGAGAAATTGCGCTACCTTGGGCAAGTCCCTTGTTAGTACTAACCTCCTGATCGCCAAGAACAAGCGTTCTATTTCCCAGAAAGGATCTTAGGAAGTTGACAATGTGTTCATTGAAACCAAGATTCGATAACATATCACAAAGGATTATGAAATTCGTGTTGTCGTACGCTTTGTCTATATCGAGACAAGCACCCACCACATGAAAGCCCTCATTTTTAGCTTTGTAAACTGTGTTAATGACATCATTAATACATTGAGAAGTTGATCTTTTCTTTCTAAAAGCATAGGATCTGTCAGGAATAATACCTTTTGTCTCAATATGGTCTTCAATATGAGGTTTAATCATGGCTTCGAGACATTTGAAAATAATTGACAAAAGACAAATTGGTCTGTAATTTTGGATTTGTGAAGTGTCCCTGTTTTTCTTAGGAATAGGACAAATAATTATTCTTCTCCATTTTTCGGGAATCGTACCATTCCTCCATAAAGCGTTTATCATGTTAAATAATTTTTCCCTTTCAATTGGATTTAAATTAATGAGCATTCTGTATGAGATACCATCGTCACCTTTAGCTGAATCAGGATTTCTGGAATTAATATAATTAGTAAAAACATCAAGAGATAAAATAGGTACGTTGTTTGAAGAGATGTTGAAATTAATAGGAACCTGAATCGGGGTAGAGGCGGGTCCTGCGATCAAATTCAAAAAATCCTTCCTTTGTTCACGAGTCCAGGAGTTATTACTATTTTTTGGTAATTGGTATTTTTTTAAGTGTGCGAGCTTCTTCCACATATCCTTAATAGAGGTAGGATGTGATAATTCCTCTAATAACATAGCGAAGGCTTCCTTTTTCTTCACCGAAATGTAATTATCAAGATTAGTACCAGCCTCTTTAAATCTTGTAAAATCTGCGAGAGATTTATTCTTATAAAATCTTGTTCTCATCAAGTTTCTGGTAGCAAAAAGTTTATTGGCCATCGAATCCCACCATTTTTTGGGTTTAAACTTGTTTTTTTCTGAGACGTTTATAGTGCAAAGTCTTCGAATTTTCTCAATATCCTTCTGAAAATCGTCAATATTACCATTGATTTGTAATTTGTTCAATTCCAAGTAAAATCTGGATTTATCTAGAATGGTGTTGTTTTTCAACAAGATCGGTAAATTTAAAATATCAATTACAATAGGTAGGTGATTACTACCCGTTAATTTTGTATTGTGTACCTTCCATACGATATCCGAGTCCAATTGGTTACAAAAGGAAACATCCAGCGCCGAAGGTTGGACATTTTCCGTAAAGTAAGTTGTCGAGCCATTATTAATGCAATGAAAGTTGGTATTGAACATAATGTCTTCCAAAACTCTGCCCTTATGATCCTCTTGAACAGGGTTCCAAAGGAGAGCTTTAGCGTTGAAGTCCCCGCAGATAAAAGTTAAGTTTCTGTTGTTGCGAGCGAAGAGAAAGATTTTCCTCATTTCCTGTGCAAAATCCTCTAAGGACATGCTAGGCGGGCTGTAGTTGACTATAATCGTTATATTTCTCCTTAGGTTTAGGGTAGTAATAGCTAAAGTGTCAGCATTTGTGTTGATTGGGTTAATGGTATATTTAATGTGTCTTCTTATATAAAAACCTACTCCACCAAAACCGTCAGTTCTATGTTTACCAATAAAATTAAATTCAGCAAGACTGGTACAGGAGTTATCCTGTAGCCAAGTTTCGTATAAAATAGCAATATCGATCTGGAAATTATTCATGAATAATTCCAATAATTCTTTGTTGCCCTTCTTTTTCAGACTTTGGATATTAAATTGTAATAGTTTCATTTTGTAAAAATTGATTTTAAAATTTATCTTTTATGATGGATTTATTAATCCTATCAGCGTCAATATAATTCATTCCCTTATTCAAATTTTCTCTCATGTTAAGGAGGATCTTTCTTATATGATCTGGATCAAGTTTGCCACTTGTCCAATCTGTGATAATATTCGAAGTGTCTTGAGACACTTTGGTCAAAATGTTTATAGCTTTGCTATGATTATCCGAGTGATCGGGCAGATCTAATTCGTTTTGAACGGTTTTGTTATTTTTCTCATTGTTAAATGTACGTTTAGTGTTATCACTGAAGCCTTGGCGATTATATTCAAGGTTAACTGCATGTTGATTAATTATTTCCTGATGAATTCTCATAGTGTTACGCGCATTGGCTTCTTCTCTAGTTTTATTTGCGTTGATCTTGACTGCTTTCGAGTAGGGAAGAACCCTATGAATATCCCTAACGGCCTCATGGTGTCTATTGCGGTTATTTCCATCGTTTCCGGATGGTCTCAAAGGTGGAAAATCGTTTACGTCCTCTAGGATCTCAAAACGGTTAGAAAATACATTGGAGAAACGAGATCTGGCCTCCTTAATAGTAAGGTTTTCTATGGTCATTAGCTTTTTAATAGCATAAGCCTTAGTCCGAGCTGGGCAGTCCCTGTATGTCGGCGGATGTTTGTCTTTGCAGTTCACACAGCACATATCAAGGCAATTTATCTCCTCCTCATGTTGGTTAAAACACTTCTTGCAAAGCTCAAAGGTTTGCTTACAATGTTGCGCGAAATGGTTAAATCTATAGCATCTGTAGCATTGTCCAAAAGGAATGTAGTATTTCACTTTCAATTTGGTGTAACCATAATTTATTTCCCTAGGGATTTCGTTCCCCTTGAAAATAATTTTAACATTTTTTGTAGGTGTAAAAATTACCTCGCCATCTGAGTTTTTCTGTCTACGTGTGATCCTTAAAATTTTCAGTACCTCAATGGGAGAAGAAATTTCCCTCACGAATTCCTCCTCAGAAATGTCCACGGGTATATCATATACTATACCCGCTTTCGAAACAAAGTGCGCTAATATTTTTGGACTTAAACCCTTCTCTTTAATTCTTGAATCATCCATGAAGTTGTTAGCAGCAGAAAAATTTTTAAATAATATTTTGCAGCGACCGTAACCTATTTTCGAGACTTCTTCTATATGTTCTATTCTGAGGTCCATTACCAACTTGCTCACAGTTATGGCGCTTAGATATTTCCTCATACCTTTATCGTCATAGGAGTCTACATACACTATGCAAGGGCCTTTGTGCCCCCTGTCATAACGATACGTCGATTCAAGAGTAGGTTTTTCCCTATTTGTATTTCCGTCCGATAAATTATCTTTATTATTCTTCGTCCGAACTGTATTTAAGGCTGAATCCGACTTACCTTCAGCTGCCATGTCCACATCCAAAACGCTCTCACCAGATCCTTGAGAATCCTGAATCTTCCTCCTCTTCTCCTGCCCATCGTCCACCTCCGGCGGGCTAAAGCCCCCGGCCAATGCCATCCTCTTCCCACCCGGCAATGTCAGGTAGGAAACCACTGATCAATATAAATGTATCCCAAAAAAAAGATGATTGTATAAGATCAAAATGAAAGAAACCACAACGTGGTTTTGTTCTTTTTATTTTCCACTTTCCTCTTCAGTATGTATACTGACGCACCAATTTAATATTAAACAGTTATAACGGTACAAGACACAAACAGAAAAATACAGATTAAAATACACGAGTAAGAGTGAGACAAACGACACACTAGACAATCCACAATAATACGTCTAAACTCTTTGAAAGTCCACACGCGAATCGATTTTTAAATTGTGTTTTGCTATTTGTTAAAATTTGTGAAAAGTTGAAAAAGTGAATTAAAAGTGGTTTTAAAGTAGTTTAAAAGTGTAATAAATTGTATAATATATAATTAAATCGTTAATATCTTTAACTTAAAAGTAATATTTTTATTTATGTTTTGTTCACATTGTTTTGCAAGGAAATTTTATTTTGACACAATCTTAAATTATTCCAAAAACAAAATACATGTGGTTGTTTTAGATGTTGTTGTACAACAAGAGATGTCGCTACTTTATTAATATACTTTGATGGACAGTATAAAAACTGCCACTTAAGGGGCCTTCACACGGTCACACTTTACGTACGACAAGTCTAATGAAAAAGTAAAATGAAATTCCATCCGTATGACAAAAAAGAGAATAAAAGTCGTATGATTTATATTTTTTGTGTTTACACGATTGGTATAAAACAATAACAAAGTAAGATGGAACAGCTGTTTCACTTTTTTTGTATGTGTTTACATAAAAATATATCCCTGATCTAATGCGACTTGCTTGTTTTTTGAATCATTTCAAACAATGAAGAGAGCCATACGACTGTCAAATTTTCCAACCGTATTTTCTCTCAATGTGTGATGGTTTCATTACATATTGCGTTTAGACGATCCCATCCGTTCTCTTCTACACAAAATTTTGACAGATCATATTACTTGTGTGCTCGTGTGAAGGGGGCTTTATTGGTTTATATTATTGCCACACAAGAACACACAAATACTGGTACATTTTCAACATTGCTTAGAAAAGCAGTTTCTGTGAAAATTTGAAAGAAAACTTGTTGGTGTAACTACGGGGTTAAAGCAATTTAAGCGTTTTACTTTCAATCTGGTGTAATTTGAACTTAAAGTTTTGGCAGCACTGTCGAATAATTTAGAACCGAAGTAACAAATAGCTTATATACAAATAAATTATTTAGAAATATATCTATAAAAATGGTGAATTCTTCTGAATGTCGTTGGAAAAAGGTTTGTTGATGAATTTTGAAATTAAAGAAATGACTCATCAAAAATATGCACATAAAAAACAATTGTACATTCATTCATACAGTACACATGAAAATACTTCTGTACAATAATATGTACATATTGTCTGATAAAATGCATAACAAAGTATTATCACTTTTAATAGTTTTACAGGAGAAGCAAAAAGCGTTATAAAATGAAAATTATTAAAGATATAAAGCAATAATTTATATTAATGAAAATAAGCAATATCCGTGCACGATTTTACCTACCTCCCATGCAAGGGTTCCTCAGGAATTTGGACAGTCTTACGTTGATTAGATAGCAATAGTTATGAAATTTTTCACAAGTTAGTTTTATGTATCTAGAAATTATATTCTAGCTCCAATTTAGTTTCTTTTCAGCTCCACCACAAAGTAGATCTCTTTGTATTTAGTATTTATCTTTTACATCATAGAAGTAATGATTCCAAGAGCACCTAGTGCTATGTTGACGATTAGAAATGAAGTGTAATTTATTTACAAAACAGTTATTGGTGGAAAACAATATTTAGGTATCGTTAGCGGTTTACTCGGATATATACTTTTCAACTAAGGAGTGAGATCGAAAAATACCTAACATACAGTGTCGGACAAAACTAAAGTACGAACTTTTTTTATTAGAAAAAAGCTTGGTAAAATTAAGAAAAAAATGGTTACTTTGTAATTAAAGTTATTAGTTTAGAGAGAATATAGTCTAGAAATTATAAAAACAATGAAAAATAATGTTTAAAACTTAAATACACTATTTTTGGATACATTACATAAATGATAACTGCAGCGACAAAACTAAAGCACATAACCTTGGATATATTAGGTTAGGTTGATAGGAGGATGTATACTACATCAAATCCGAAGAAATACAACTAGGCCACTATCGGGACTGTTGTGCGCTCCAATTCATGAAAAAAAAATTGTTCACTTAATGTATTATTTTTCCATGTTCAGAAACTCAGTTTCCTTGACGTAATTCCTAAGAATCTTCCAATCGGTGTTGGTTAAGAATGTTATTTCCGGAATAACATCACTTCCAAGATACTCGGATCTAACTTCTACGAATGCCTGACAATGGCAAAGAAAGTGCTCCAGAGTTTCACTGTCCTCTCCACATGCTCTACATTCGTCTGAATCCGCACGTCCAATTTTGTATAGATGTGCACGTAATCCTGTGTGTCCACTCAGAATACGTACCATCATACTAACCTCAGACTTGCTTATTTTGAGGAAATTTCTCGTCTTGCTCTCATCAGGGTCACCCCATAGAATCTTTGTGGTTCTACCCACCGTTTCATTATTCCAAGAGGCCTTATGGGATTCTCTCATCCATATTTTTAATTCAGCTTTTGTTGCGTCCATACATGGGAATTTTTCATTAAGCATTAAAATTTCATTACCATTTATAGAAAAAATTCGAATGAAAAATATTTTAAGTACCATTTAATGAAAATTATATTTTTTTCATTATAACTTTTTTTGATAATGGTAATGAATTTGATAATGAATTTTCAAAAACGAATTTAATTAGTATTTATAATTGTCGAAAAATATATTTGATAAGAATTCAGGAAAATATTTCGAAGATTCGAGGTTTGGAAGCTTTTAAAACCAGTTCTCGTAGCCCAAATTGGCTGAAATTTTGCAGTCATAAGTATATCTGATGACAATACAATAATATGTTCGAATATTCGAAATTAAGTTCGAAAATTCGAAGTTATTTTCGAAAATTGTTTTATGTTTTTATATTAATCTCTGTGTCATAAAAACTACGAAAAAAAATTTCGAAAATTCGAACGCGTGTTCGACAAATTTTTAAAGATGTTAAAACTAGTTCTTCTAGTCCGAATGTGTTGAAATTTGTCATACATGATTTCACCTAATGACAATACATTATAACGTTCGGATATTCGAAATTAATTTCGAAATTCGAATTAATGTTCGAAAATTTTTAAAATCCATTGAATAATGGTAATGAAAATTTATTTTTAAATAATTACTAATGAAATCGTTTCATTAAAAAGCATTACCATTAGACAAAATAATGCTAATGAAAAAAAAATAATTATAATTTTTTTCAATTTAATGCTAATGAAATCGTCAATTAATTAGTCGATAAAATTAACTACTCCCATGTATGGTTGCGTCGAATGGTTTTGCGTTTGTCAGGTTAACTACATCGAGCTCCCTTCCCTTTAAAGCTATTACATTAGCCCTTTCGTTGCCGACTACTCCCGAGTGGCCTGGTACCCATATGATGTGAACCTTACCTCTGGGAGAGTATTCGGTTAAAGCTTTCTTACAATCCAATACGGTCTTAGATTTAATTCTATCACCTGATATCGCCCTAATTGCCTTCTGGCTGTCTGTAAAAATATTAAGCCCTGTGGGCGCCATATTTATTCTAATCGAATTTACACATTCCGTTATTGCTCGTACTTCTGCCTGGAAGCTTGTGTTATGATTAGGTAAACGGTGCTATATTTCTGTTTCTGGGTCTTCAATATAGAACCCCAGGCCCACTTTGTCCCCTAATTTAGAGCCATCCGTGTAGCAACGGATTCCTACTGGTATTTGCTCTAATGTTCCGCTTGACCAATACATTCTATCTGGGATTAGCGTTTCAAAGTTTCCGACATATTCTGTGTCTGGTATGCGATCATGCACGTCCGATGAATGTGTATAACCTTCCAATGTGTCCAGTATACATTGATGACGTGTCCTATAACCGTTTTTGGCCAGTTCGCCTAAAGTAAAGAGCCGTTCGGCTGTAAGCGCCGCCTCATATCTTATATATGTTTCAATGGGTGGAATATCTAGCAACGTTTCCAGAGCCTTGGTTGAAGTAGTACACATGGCACCACTTATACCCAAGCAGCATGTACGCTGAACTCCCTGTAGTAGTTTGATATTACACTTTTTGTCCAAAGCAGTCCACCAGATTATTGAAGCATAAGCTAGAATTGGTCTAATTACACTTTTATAAAGCCAATTTGTCATAGTAGGACTAAGACCTCATTTCATGCCCATGGTTCTCCTACATATCGCCCAGCACCGATGTGCCTTGTTGATCCTATCCTCTATGTGGTGTCTCCATTTTAATTTCCGGTCAAGTATTACACCTAAGTACTTAACTTTGTCTGTCACCGGTATCTTCTTGCGCAGGAAGCAAGGTTCAGTATATGTAGAAATGTTTGTCTTGTGAAAAAACAGATTTTCGTCTTCGCCGGGTTAACATTGAGGCCTCTCGGTGGAGCCCAGCTCAAGGCCGTATTCAGAGCATCCTCAGCTCTTCTACACAAGTATTTTGGATCCTTTCCTTTTAAAAGTATTACGACATTGGATATATTAAATTTTAGGGAATTTTAGGAAACTGTTAACAAAATTTACTGTTAAATAAGGAAATAGGTACTATCTGTTGTAGACATTTTAAGAGCAAACATACGTAAAATGAAGTGAATTCATAACATTTTTACAGTATTTTTTGATCATTCGCCTTTGCAGTGCACTTTCCTTCAACATAAAATTCAAAATGGCTCCTCAAAAGCATTTTTTGCGATTAAAAGAAAAAAATTATGGATGATTTTAATAAATGTCAATCAGTGACACGTATTTCTTAAAAAATTAATATTTATCAATTACTATGAAATATTATGTCCAGAACTTTCCAGAGAAGAACTGCAGAAGGTTGCTCAAAGCCATATTGAAGTAAAAACGCCTTTTCTTTTGCCTATATTTCGAACTGGCTAGGATGGATTTGACAGAAGGGCACTTCGACCGAAATTTTATACAATGAACATTTTTCTGATGAATCGAAGCAAAATTAAAATGATTTTGATGAATTACATTTAGAATCTAGGCCAGTAGTGTAATTATCGGTATACTGTAGTAAAAATAAAACACGGAGGGGGTTATATTCTGGTCTTGTGATGTTTTCCATGTAATGTGATCGCAGAATTGTATCAATATAAAGCAAATAATTTGAATAAAGAATCGTTTTATGTATGAAAATGTTTTGCACAATATAAAGATCATTTAATCATTTTCCAAATTAAGTCCGATTTTTCGAAGTTTTTTATTAGAGATTTTATCAAAGATTATTTTAAAACCATTAAACATGTTTCGAACATAATTTCGAATTTTCAAACACAATACTATATTGCCACCATATTAATCATAATTATCAAATTTTAGTCAATTTGGACTACAGGAACAGAATTAAGTAGACTCAAAACATTTTGAAACATATGTTCGAATATTCAGATTTTCTTTATTCGGTTTTTATGATTCAGAGAGTATTTTAAAACCATAAAAAAAATTTCGAACTTTATTTCGAATTTTCGAACTTAACTTCGAATATTCGAACATTATATTATATGTTTCTCTGGTGTACTCATAACTTTCAAATTTCAGCAAATTTGAGCCACGGGAACTGATGCCAATAGCTTTGAAAGTTTTTGTCACCAGTAAAATACATATCGACACATTCTTTATTTTTTTTTTTGGAATTTGAAATTTAATATGGGTGCCAGGGTATCAATCTTATTAGAGTGTGGTTGTGTTTGATGATGATTTATGACACTACCTTAGTGATACGTAGCTATAAGTGTTAGTGTTGTAAACATAGAATTGTGGTAAATTCACCAAACTTCATCGTGTTAATCGATATCTCCAAAAAAGAAAAATTAATTTATCTTATATATTTAATTGAGATCCTAATATAAGGATTCAAAATGTCTCTTGGAAGGTAAACTCCAAGATATGGGTTTGTCTTACTAAATATTAAAACCAGTCTCATTAAAGAATTTCGAAATCATTTTATAATTCTCAACCTTCCGCGTTTTCAAAATATCTACCAAACTTAGTCGACCGTTTAGTAGATGGTATTTTCTTCTAATTCCTCAAACTTTTTAGAGCTTAATAAAATATGTTCAGCTGTCTCCTCAGTATTGCATACCTCACACATAGAAG